TTTAGAATTTCGCCAATTATTCAACACCGAAATGAAATATTTAATTCATTTAATTTAATTTGATTTATTTAATATTAAACTGAAAAGAAAATATACATATAAAAAAATCGAAATCTATTTACTTGTTCTTATCGGATATCTCATAGAATTAGCGCAAAAAATAAATGAAATTTCAACGAGAATTCCCTAGAATTTTAATAGAATTCTAATTGAATTTTCTATCGAATTCACTAAGTTTTGCTATTGAATTTTTTCATACGTGAAGGTGAGTTCTGTGATCATATGAAGAGAAAAGTCTTTAACGGCCGTGCATCGAGCAGTATTTTTTGTCATTGGGCCCGAAAACCGCGAATGTAAGCGAAGCGAGGTTAAAATTGCGGTTTATCGGGCCTAGTGACAAAAAAGTGTTTTTTGACCCGCGGGAGGTCCGTGGCGCTCGCCGAAGGCGAGTGCAACCCTTCCAAGGTTTAAAGAATACTTTTCTCGCGAGTATGGAACCCCATTTTTCATCACAATGTGTGGAAGGTGGCGCTCTCCGCATGCGCAAAATTCCACTTGACACACAAGTGACAAAAAAATGTGTTTTGACCCGCGGGAGGGGTGTGGCGCTCGCCGAAGGCGAGTGCAACCCTTCCAAGGTTTAAAGAACACTTTTATCACGAGTATGGAACCCCATTTTTCATCACAATGTGTGGAAGGTGGCGCTCTCCGCATGCGCAAAATTCCACTTTACGCACAAGTGACAAGAAAGTGTGTTTTGACCCGCGGGAGAGGTGTGGCGCTCGCCGAAGGCGAGAGCAACCCTTCCAAGGTTTAAAGAACACTTTTCTCACGAGTATGGAACCCCATTTTTCATCACAATGTGTGGAAGGTGGCGCTCTCCGCATGCGCAAAATTCCACTTTACGCACAAGTGACAAGAAAGTGTTTTTTGACCCGCGGGAGGGGTGTGGCGCTCGCCGAAGGCGAGAGCAACCCTTCCAAGGTTTAAAGAACACTTTTCTCACGAGTATCGAACCCCATTTTTCATCACAATGTGTGGAAGGTGGCGCTCTCCGCATGCGCAAAATTCCACTTTACGCACAAGTGACAAAAAAATGTTTTTTGACCCGCGGGGCTAATCTTTGCTGCTCCCAAGAATCAAAAAACACTTTTCTCACGAGTGTCGAACCCTATTTTTTGCGCACAGGAGCGTGCGTAAACCTTCACTTTACGGTCGAGTGATAAAAATCAATTTTTCCACTCGACCGTAATGTTTCTCATCGACAAAAAACATTGTTTTTTCCCCATCACCAGTTATCGAATTAATGGAAAAAGAGCAATTTGGCCGCCTCGCCTCCACCACTTCCATTCCAAATTAATACCTCAACATATCTTTCTCCACCGTCTCTCTACAAAATTCTTAATTGTTCAACCTCCACGTAATTCTCCTCTTCCATGTTCCCCATCACACTTCCTCCCCCCCAAAAAAACCCGCAACACGAAAAAAAAAGATAAAACAGTTCGGAACTGAAGTTGAAGCATGCGAACTTTTTTTTACCTTTTGTTTTAACGAAACAGGGGAGCGTGGCCGCCAACGATGTACGAAAAATGGGGGGAAGGTGGGGAGGGGGGAATGGACCAAGGGTTTCTCTCCTCCGTATACCTAAGAAGAAGTGAAAATTCAAACAGGGTGGGTGAGAGAGGCGGCGACGACGAGTGAAGTGACCGGATGGCCTTGGTCTCGAGACTCGGTTAGTTACCACGGGAATACTGGCTATAACTGTCCCCGCCTTCGTGGAACAAGGTGGTATCTCCAATTTCTACCGGCTTCTTTCTCCCACCTCCCCTTCCACCTTTTATTTTTTACTATTTATTTTATTTCAGATGGGCCGAAAATACGGGGACCAACCCCTCTCAGTCTCTTTGATTTTTGTTACTGGGTATGAGGGGAAAAAATGTAATCAAGTGGCTGAGTGGATTTTTATATGTTGCACTCCATTTTTACGACTGGGGAATGGGTTTTTCGGGTTGATGGGCAAATGAGGGGAATCATCTTTATTTTTAATGGAGAAATTCATTTTTTGCGGACGTTTTTGGGAAATGTAGGATTTTTTGGGAAAATTTTGGGAATTATGTCATTATTGAGGTTTTTGAAAAGAATTCTTCAAACTCACTGATAATTGTTCAATTATCTCGGTAACTCGTAATGTGAGGAAAAACCAAAAAGGATTTTTGGTTTTTGTAATTGCTGATTTTTTTACCATTTTTAATAAATGATTAATGAGGATTTTTATGGAGGAATTGATTTTGTCAATTGGATCACTACCAAAATTTTTCTTATTGATAAAATTGATGAAAAAAAAATTTATCTAGTGGCTGAGTGGATTTTTACATGTTGCACTCCATCTTTACGACTGGAGAATGGGTTTTTCGGGGGAATCATCTTTATTTTTAATGGAGAAATTTTTTTTTTCGCACGTTTTTGGGAAATGTAGGATTTTTTGGGAAAATTTTGGGAATTATGTCATTATTGAGGTTTTTGAAAATAATTCTTCAAACCCACTGATAATTGTTCAATTATCTCGGTAACTCGTAATGTGAGGAAAAACCAAAAAGGATTTTTGGTTTTTGTAATTGCTGATTTTTTTACTATTTTTAATAAATGATTAATGAGGATTTTTATGGAGGAATTGATTTTGTGAATTGGATCGCTACCAGAATTTTTCTTATTGATAAAATTGATGAAAAAAAAATTTATCTAGTGGCTGAGTGGATTTTTACATGTTGCACTCCATTTTTACAACTGAAAAATGGATTTTTCGGGTTCATTGGCAAATGAGGGGAATCATTTGTTTTTTTAAATGGAGAAATTTATTTTTTTCGGACGTTTTTGGGAAATGTAGGATTTTTTGGGAAAATTTTGATAATTATGTCATTATTGAGGTTTTTCAAAAGAATTCTTCAAACCCACTGATAATTGTTCAATTATCTCGGTAACTCGTAATGTGAGGAAAAACCAAAAAGGATTTTTGGTTTTTGTAATTGCTGATTTTTTTACTATTTTTAATAAATGATTAATGAGGATTTTTATGGAGGAATTGATTTTGTGAATTGGATCGCTACCAAAATTTTTCTTATTGATAAAACTGATGAAAACAAAAGTTATCTAGTGGTTGAGTGGATTTTTACATGTTGCACTCCATTTTTACAACTGAAGAATGCGTTTTTCGGGGTCATTGGAAAATGAGGGGACTCATTTGTTTTTTTAAATGGAGAAATTTATTTTTTTCGGACGTTTTTGGGAAATGTAGGATTTTTTGGGAAAATTTTGGGAATTATGTCATTATTGAGGTTTTTGAAAAGAATTCTTCAAACCCACTGATAATTGTTCAATTATCTCGGTAACTCGTAATGTGAGGAAAAACCAAAAAGGATTTTTGGTTTTTGTAATTGCTGATTTTTTTACTATTTTTAATAAATGATTAATGAGGATTTTTATGGAGGAATTGATTTTGTGAATTGGATCGCTACCAGAATTTTTCTTATTGATAAAACTGATGAAAAAAAAATTTATCTAGTGGTTGAGTGGATTTTTACATGTTGCACTCCATTTTTACAACTGAAGAATGGGTTTTTCGGGTTCATTGGAAAATGAGGGGACTCATTTGTTTTTTTAAATGGAGAAATTTATTTTTTTCGGACGTTTTTGGGAAATGTAGGATTTTTTGGGAAATTTTGGGAATTATGTCTGTCATTATTAAGGTTTTTGAAGAGAATTTTTCAAACCTGTTTATTTATGAGATAGAAACCTGATTTACGATTAATGATTTTCGTAGATTAACTTGAGTAATTGTTTGATTATCTGGGTAATTGGTAATGTGAGAAAAAATCCGCAAGAACTTTTTTTCGTGGATAATTAAATTTTCTTTAAAAATGGTTTCATGGTTTCTTAAGACCTCGCCGAGATCATTACGTAATTGATGATTTTATTACTGTTCGGAATTTATGGCCGATGAGAATTTTGAGGGAGTAAAATTAAATTTGTAAATTATATCGTTATTGATTTTTTTTTATTGAGAAACCTGATGAAATGGTGAAGTGGAATAGAAAACCCTGAAAAACCTGAGACCACGCTCAATCCAGTTTATTTTTGCTACTGGGTATGTAGAAACAAAATTTAATCAAGCGGTTGAGTGGATTTTTACATGTTGCACTCCATTTTTACGACTGGAGAATGGGTTTTTCGGGTTGATGGACAAATAAGGGGAATAATTTGTTCATTTTACGCTGAAATTTATTTCCTTGATCATATTTTCAGCAAATATCACATTTTTAAAGAGCTTTTGGTAATTACGTCTGTCATTATTACAATTTAAAACAAAAATTCTCAGGAAATATCTTCTATAAAAATTAAATTCTCTACAAAAAATGCTTTATGAGGGTTTATCGTAAACCTGCTCATTTACGAGATAGGAACGTAATTTTCCATTTATGATGATTCTCCTCAGTTAACTTGTGCAATTATTTAATCATCTCGGTAACTCGTACTGAAGAAAAAACCACAAAGGATGCTTTTGTAGATCATTAAATTCTCTGCAAAAATCTTTTGGTATTTTGCAGAGACCCGAGATACCGATTTTTTTTATTGCTCATAGTTAATCATATGAGGATTTCCATGGTGAAATTCATCATTGAAAGTCATTACTAGCGGTTGTGAATAAAATTCTTAGGAAGTCAATTGCATTGTTACCAAAATTTTTTTATTGAAAAAACCGATGAATTCGGAAAATCGACTGTAAAATAATGAATAAATTTTTTTGTTTCGAAAAATCATCAGAAATAACTATTATTTTCATTTTAATAATAATTTAATTCAATAATTATTCAACTATTTTACTTTTCCGTCATTTGTCGAACGAAAAATGAAAAAAAAAAGGAAAAATACACGTTAAATATTTGACACACGATCTTGATGATTTGAAATGAAGAAATTCTTGCAGAACCCAAATTAGTGAATTATTCCGCACACGAAAAAAAAAAAACTTGAATCGGTTATATTCAATTCTCAATTCAACTACATTTTTTCCGTGCACGACATGTCCTGAAATTTCCCTGTAAAATCCCTCGGTATCGAAATGAATGAGGAACTAGATGCGAATGTGGAATGTTGCCAAGAAGTCTGAAGCTCTCGTGACGACGTGCTCGAACTCCAGGTACGATAGTGCGCCATCTCCATCGATATCGCTCTCCTCGAGTACTTTTTTACAGATCGTCGCTATTTCCTCGGTTGTCAGACCATCCTGAACCAGTTGGCGACAGGTTCTCTCGAGGTCTGACATCCCCACTACTCCGTCTTCATCGAAGTCTGGGGCATAAATTAACAATTCCAGACACTAAAATCATTGAATTCCAATACTTCTAGGGCTTTTTATTTAAGGCATTTTAGCACTTAAATAAAATGTGCTAAAATGCCTTTAATAAAAACCCCTGGAGTTCTTAATAGAAAAACTTTGGGGTTCTTTAATTCAGTAGCGAAGTGGTAAAACGGTCTAAGTCGACTTATCTCGCAGTTGAGTTTTTGAGGAACATTTCCGAATCCAAGGGAGACAGAGAAATTTTCGTAATCACATTTGTTGGAGCTCTCAATCGGTTCTACAAAAAAGATTTTGAGAAATATTTTGCTATCTGCCTTAGATTTCGAGATATTCATTGAAAACCGGTCAATAGTCAAAATTGACATGTATCATTTTACCACTTCGCTACTGAATTACATTCTTGCCTTCTCAAATTATAAAATCAGTAGCGAAGCGGTAAACCGGGCTAAGTCGATTGTGACCATTGGCTAGTTTTTGACGAATATCTCGGAATCTAAAAGAGATTGAAAAATTTTTGTCATGACCTTTTTTGTATGAAAAATTGAGGCTTATAAAAAAGGTAATGAGAAAAATTTTGCTATGTCCCTTAGATTCCGAGATATTCATCAAAAACTGACTAGAAGTCAAAATCGACTTGACCCGGTTTACCGCTTCGCTACTGAAATAGAATGAAAAAAAGTGGGAAAGTTTAAGCCGAGGAAATTCTATAGAAAATATCTGAATAGAATCAGTCCAAAGCTAACAGAAAGCTCACTAGAAATCCAATATAATTTTTTCAACGAATTCGCTAAGTGCAAGTCGTATTTGCAGTACTTTGTTATAAAAATAAAACAAAAATCGATGACAGCTTCGTTTTCCAAAAACAGATATATATCATCCCATCCGAAGATAAATCATCTCAGGTCCATTAACCTCGTGTATTCGCCTCATTTTTATTTGTGAAATATCTAGGATGGTCAAGGGTCTCCTATCAGTCTACCTGGAGCCCCGGCTAATTGCCTTTTCCCACCACTCGAGTGCATTTCCGTACTTACCATAAATCTTGAAGGCGTAGAAAACTTTCAAATCACGTGGCGCTTGTTCCGAGAATACAGACATCATCTCCAGGAACTCCTCGAAGCATATGCCCTCGTCCAGCGAATTGCGTTGCTCGTTTGTGCTCGTGAAGACCTCGGATATCCTCTCTCTGAATGGATTTTCCTGTGATTTTTCTTCACAATAAATTCATTGGTTCACGAATTCGATGGGGACAAGGGGATTTTCTTGTTGGATTATCTTGACAATGATCAATTCTACTAGGAAACAGCATGAGACATTTTTTTTTGTAGAGAATCATGAATTATTCATTTATCGAGACATTTCCATAATTAGGGTGAGGGTTCTTCTTCTTGACAGTATCCTTATTAATTACGTCATTATTTCTATATTATTTTTTCGAGGGAAAATACGATGAGATTTTTTTTCTACTGAGATTTTCAAGAGCTGCGAAAAAAATTATGTTGACATTTTTTTCTGAGATTGAAGAAAATTTCATGGGATTATTGGTTTATGATATATGGTTTTCTCTTTGATAAAGTTGGTGGAGACAAGGGTCATATCTAATTATTGAATTATCTTGTCGGCGATAAATTTTATGAGGAAACACCATGAAGGATTTTGTAGAGAATTTTGGGGGGCTACAAGAAATTATCTCCTACAGTTTATTATTATCAAGGTGTATCCATAATTAGGATAAGGGAAGATTAGAAAACTTCCCGAGAAAATGCTTGTTAATTACGTAGTTATCTTGTATATTATCAATTTTAGGAAGAAACAGCATAGGATTTCTTCTATTGAGAGCTTCAATAGCTAAAATAATATTTTGATATTTTAACGAGGGCCAAAAGAGTGTTTCCCTCTTGGAAATATCATAACTTATTACGTAATTATCTCATAACCAAATAATTTAATGAGAAAATATTAAACATTTTTTGCAGAGGATTTTTTGCACAGAATTTCACCAGATTTTTTCACAGCTGCAGAACAGCTTATTTGTATTTTTCCATAGCATCGATCATTTCTTTAAAAATCCCATGATTATCTACAATTAAGGCCCGGTTGCACTAAGCCCTGTTATCCAAATAAACCCCAGGGTAAAATTTATTTTCGGCGTCAATTATATCGTAGGGGTCATAATTTTTCAATATTTGACACGAAGAATAATTTTTCATTTCTCCTGTAGCCCCGTTTGAATTAACACTGATTTAATCTTGGGATTGAATTTTATTTTTTGTTCCTGGGATAAACTTGAGATACTCTCCCGGGTAAAATAATCCATCGAACGTTTTCGTTACCCAGAGCTGGTGCAACCGCGCCTAAAAGTGTTTTGCATGATATTCCGTTTATGAGTTAATTATTCGATCAGGAAAAAAGCTCACTCTCAACTCCGGAATTTTTTCGAGACACGAAAGTGGAATTCGAAGTTTCGAAGCTTCATCTGCCGACATTCTGCGAGGAACCACGCCAGGTTCTCCAATCTCTCGAAATTTTTTGAAAATTCTAGAAATAAAAAAATTGAAACTTCACAATTTCGACGGGATTTCAGCAAGAAAATCGATCGCAGAGATTTGACTGATCTTCATGTCTCGATTTCACCTCAAGATCTCCTTTCGCGTGAAAAACGTGCAGTCCTGATAGTCCTCCAGCTGCTCCTCACTGAACGTCGCGACTTTGTTCCCCATTTAGTGATTCTCAAGAATTTGATAAGGGACACTGCTCCACGGCGATGAAACCGACAAACTGAAAATGCGGAGTATGAGGTCCGGGTTGTAGGCAACCACCCTCGATCCTCAATACGAAATAGATAGTAATAACTGAGAGGTGTGCCCTGGCGCTCCCAGTGCTCATCACGGACGTTTTGTATTCGCCTGACTCTGCTCAATTCCGAAATTAATGCGCAGTGTCTTTACAGTCTCATTCCATTTTCCGATCCATCATCATTATTAGTACTCACTAATCAACATTTCGGAGAAAACCGTAGGGGAATAATGAAGACGTTAAAAGGGGAATTCGAAATGAACTCGAAAGAGAAATGTTTAGGAGTCCCAAAATGTCATGCAACTTGTTTTGAAATTATTACCGTAATTAGCGAACGTGCGGTCGCGCCTGTTCCTAGATTAATTTACAGTATTTTATTTTATTTTCGTTCAATTGGATTAATTTAATTTGATCCATTCTTATTCTTATTATATATATTTTTTCCTTAATTCACAAATTACAACATTGCAGAATGGGAATTATGTTAAAGATCAATAAAAATTAATAAAAGTTCTTTGTGATCAAAACAAATTACTTTTTTTTCGTCAAGTATTAGAGTGATATCAATATTTCAGCGAGAAGAAATTCAAAAAATGCAAAAAAGTGGACGGAAAGGACTGAAAAAATTAATTTTTCAATGTCTCCGGAAAGTTTTAAAATCAATTTTTTTTCGAATAATGAAAGAATGCCCGTAAATTTGATTTTTATCCTTGTCTTTTGACAGAATTAAGGATGTTCGACACCCTTTTAGCCAAAATTGACGTTGTTTTCATTTTTCTGGCAAATTATCGATGGGAATGACGTGAAAAATATAACGATTTTGTGGTTTGTCATTCTTTAATGGCTCACGAAGTTGCGTAGTGGTGCGATAATTTTCATGCGTTTTTTCTACAGTTTTGTGATTCTTTTTAAAAGTTTAGAGGCAACGCAGGAAAATGTTCGCACCACCTTAAAATTTCGTCAGTCGTTAAATAATAACAAAACGCAAAAACGTTATATTTTTTCACGTCAATTCCATCATAAGTTTGCCAGAAAAATAAAAAAAACGTGAATTTTGGCAGAAAGGGTGTAGAACATCCTTAACAAAAAATATTACTCAATATTCCTGACTCTCTTTTGCTACAAAATTTTTTCACCAGGCAGCCTTCAAATGCTCGGGACTAGATTCCATAATTTTGGCGCTTTTTAACTTGCGGTTCGCTTGGAGCAAACAAGATTTGTTCGAAAAAATATCGTGTTTTCTGCCAGTGCTTCCAATATATCCTCCACCTCTTGTTCCCATAATGAAATTAATCAAAATACTCCCCTTTTTGTTCGCGTGGTACCACACCTGTTCGCACCCACGTGAAAGAAAAAGTTTGCCGATGGAATTGGGAACACGCACACGACCGATTACCCTTCAATCCTCACTCGAGTGTGATTGCGACTGCTTTTGGCTCGATCGTCTTCACCCGCAATCACAGTCTAACAGGCGTAGACACAAATTATCCACATCCTCGACGATTTTCCCCGGGGGTATTGTTAGAGAACCACAAAGTACTCGTCAAAATATCGCTCGTATATTTTAAATCACATTGAACAATACAAAATTGAGGTAGTGATTAGACGTAGTGATCCTCGTAATTCTCTTTGCTGTCCAGCAAGTGGCTCAAACACTCGGTGAAATCGTCCTGCTCGAGACCCGAGTCCTCGAGGGCGTGGAACCTCTTGATATTTTTTATTGAGGATAATGAATCGTGGAGGGACTCGAACAGTTTTGAGAGCTCTGGGGTACTGTGAATCCCTGACAATACTGGAACGCTTTTTACCTCTGAAAAGTAATGAGTCATTTTTTATCAATTATTCAGCTGCTGTTTAGATTATGTCAATGAATGCTCCATTAATAGCAAAACCATATGAACAAAAAAAAAAAATTTAGTTAAATCAAGCATAAATATAAAAATTAGTTGTTTAAATAAATCCATAAAGAATGCAACAATGTAATACCAATTTAAAAATTAACCGAAACTAGTTAACTTGAAATTTTCATGTGATGGGAAGCCCCATTAATAGCAAAACCATATGAACAAAAAAAAACAAAAATTTAGTTAAATCAAGCATAAATATAAAAATTAGTTGTTTAAATAAATCCATAAAGGATGCAACAATGCAATACCAATTTAAAAATTAACCGAAACTAGTTAAATTGAAATTTTCATGTGATGGGAAGAAAAATAATGAATTTAGAATTTAGAAATATTACAATTTAGGATGACCTGATTTAATTGTTGAAGATTAATCATTTATTCTCTTTCTCCGTTCATATCTCTGTACCATTAATGTACTTTATTTAGCAGTATTTTTTTTTATTAAGCAATTAGAAACCTACATAGAAGGTTCATAAGCTGTATAATATGTAATTGCATTACATCACTAGTTTCAACACTATAGTTTGAATAGATTTCTCGGAATCTAAGAGAGATATCAAAATCGTTGTTATAACCTTATTTGTAGAGCCGATTGAGAGCTGCAACAAATGTAGTTACGAAAATTTCGCATAGATTCGGAACTATTCCTCAAAAACTGAATTGAAATCAAATCAGTAGCGAAGTGGTAAAACGTTACAAGTCAATTTTGACTATTGACCAGTTTTCAATAAATATCTCGGAACCTAAGGGAGATAGCAAAATTTTTGTCATAACCTTATTTGTAGAGCCGATTGAGAGCTATAACAAATGTAATAACAAAAATTTCGTGTCTCCGTTAGATTCATAAATATTTCTCAAAAACTCAACTGGGAGATGAGTCGACTTAAACCGTTTCACCACTTCGCTTGTGAAATCAATACTCACCTTCTCCAACGGGCCAGCCAGCGACGTCTCCATTCCCATGAACATTTCCCCCGAAAACCTTCGGGAAAGGCCCCGAGACCTTCAGCCCAGCCTTGAGCGTCGTGAGATGCGTGGCAGAGGCGTGACAGGAGTAAGCGAGATACATGCTCATCATCTCGTGAACAGTTGAGCACCTGTAGGCAGCTTTCCCCATCTGCTTCTTGGCCTCGGCGAGGGGTCTCTTGAGCCTCTCCTCGCTGATGCCCCTCAAGGTGACACTCTGCATGCACCTGTCCCCGGAGACACTCACCCTGGGGGTGAGACTCGTCCAGAGGGGGCCCTCCAGGTCGTCGAGTACGTCAATCAGATCGCGTTTGGTTGCCATTGGAAAAGGGAGACTGAGGCTCGTGGCTGCTGCCTTCCTCCCCAATTTATTGAGGTCAGCACACAAGTCTGACAGAGAGGACATGCTGTGCTGCTTGTGCCTGTATCTGATTGTCAACGTGTCCAGGGCTGTTGCCAGAATAGCGCTGGAGTGGTACCTCAACTCGGGATTGTAAATTAAATTGGGAAAGGCTCTGGGTGGGCCTGGGGTCAGCCAGCCACTCTCCCCGCAGCAGAGGGGACTGAATAGTGACGAATGCTCGTTTAACTGCTGGTAGCACAGGGCGAGGTTCACTGCTTTCAACTGATCTGATGCTGAGGGCTTGGAGCTCTGGGATTCGATCAGGGGAAAGGCCAGGATGCTCTTGTTGTATTCGTCGCGGAGGTGCTCGATGCATGAGGTGGCGAGACCTCCGAAGGCGTTCGAAGAGTCCAGGAGCACCTGGAGATATCAATATTTTATTGTTTTATCTTCTTTTTTAGGGATTTTGGATTTTTTAGAATTCTTTTTCGCGATTTTGCGTCTGAATGGAAGCTTTGTAATCGATCATATTTGAGTTTCCAATGGTTTTGGGTTAGGGTAACTAAATGAGGTCTAAAAGCCCTGAATATGCGATTTGTATATGTATGTGGTCTTTTTTCAGGTTTTTTCGAAATTTTATTCTAAGGGATCCATCGAATTTTATTAAGGGAAGATATCTATGAGCTTTGAAAGTCGAGGGCGATTGGAATGGGATTTCTCATACATTGAAGATCAATTATTACTAGGGGAGGTAGGGGCAAAGCGGACCCCTTCGAAAAAAAAAAGTGTGGGGTAAAGTGGACCCTCACATAAATTATCGAATCGAGTCGCCAGAATTATTCTAATACGTTTTATAAAGTGAAATTTACTACCTTGACTAAAAAAATATGCAATGAGGGCAAGTATAAATTTGTGTGAGCTCCTGCGGATCTAATTGTGAACAAGAAATGTGAGTTTTTGATCAACAGCGATTACATTCTATCCAATCGGTAGAACAACATGACAATGACTCCTGACAAACGGAAAATTAAAATAATTTTAAAAAAACAGAGGGTCCACTTTGCCCCAACATTAATTTTTTTTTTAATTTAATGACAGATCTTAATTGCAATTCTAATGAGATTATGATCTCCACGTGAAGTGCATTGACTCATTAGAATTTAAAAAACTAAACGATTCGCTTAGAGGGTCCGCTTTGCCCCTACCTCCCCTATATAATAATCGTCAAAAAAATTCTGGCTCGGATTCATGAATTAACGTTGTTTTCTGTACTATTCCATCTCAAAAACTGGATAGAAACGTCTATTCATGGGATAGTTCATATCTATGTGAAAATATATGGCTATGAAATATGAATTTTTTTGTGGACATTTTATGTTAATTCGCATATCTCGAAGAGTTTTCAAACTATCTCCATGAAATTTTGGTGGTATCTCTGGGTCATTCATGAGTAGCTCCTGTAAAAATTTGAAGGACATCGGATATGTAGTTTTTATGATACAATGTTTTCCATATGTGGACATTGGTTGTCATGTCGCATATCTCGAGTTTCCAAATATTTGCATGAAATTTTGGTGGTATATTTTGACCATTGATAAGTATTTTTCATAAAAATTGTAGGGTTTTGTATAAGAATATGTAATAGAAGACCCATGGCCATGAAACGTAAATGGCGGGCGCTTGCGCCCGCATTATGCTTGTGTATGAATAAAAATGAATAATTAGTGCAAAAAATTAATTGTTTATCAAGTGTGGCGTTTTGAGTGAGATCGTCTTCTGCATTAATCCTTTCGACGATCTAACTTTAGTGAAATAACTCCTGATGCTATTTCTGGATATTCCTGGGTGTCCAAGGGCCGTCTTTTATTTATTTATTTCTAAAATGAAACGTCTTTCATTTATTTATTAGAATAAATAATACTTATTTATTTTATTCATTTTAGAAATAAATAACTGAAACTAATAAATGAATAAATGAATGAATTCAACCAAACCTTATTTCTAATCACAGGAATTAATTCTTTACCTGAAATCCTTGCATGAGGTCGCACTCCTCAGCATAAGCCCTGATTCTGTCCGAGAAATCGTCCTGGAACTGCTCAGTGCACCAGAGGTTCCTCCCATAATGGAAAACATCGAATGGAGGGTTTGAGCCCTTGTGCTGGTACTCCCTGACGATGTTGACGGTTCTGGGGTGGAACCTGGGGACTAAGTAATCCACCCAACTGTTAATTTCGCTCTCAAGGTCGAGGGACTGGTCCTCCCCAGTTTCTCTCGTCTTCTCCAAGCTCTGGATGAATGAAGACTTGGGGAGGGGGTCCTCGGTAGTGATGTCCAGGTTCTCGGGGTCCCAGACGTCGGAGGGACCGGCATCTGGGTCGGGTACTGGGTCGTAGAGGGATCCTCGTTCTGCAAGGTAACCGAGGGAACCTTTCAGGTCCACAACGAGCAATCGGGGGGTGAATGTCACTTCTCTCTGGAATAATACTTTTTTCGATAATTTTTTTTATTAGAAGCTGCTTTTTATGAATCAACTCAATAGCTCGTACAGGAAAAAATTGAAAAACCTAGCGAATTCGCAGTAAAATGGCATTGAATTAGGGTGGGGGTTTTCAATATCTGTATTTTTGTTTATTAATTTATATTTTAGACAGAATCGATCCAGTGATCCAGGGGGAAACAAGTCAATTCAATGATTCACTCAAAAATTCACTTGATCGTTTACTTGCTATAGGGCTTTGTAATTTCGACTATACTGTTGGGAGGGCTCAGATAATTCGTGGGGGAGAGGGGGACAGTATGAAACAGTTAAAATAACGACTGTTTAACGCAATTTTAGCAAGAAAAAATTTCATTAAATTTTGTTTATCAACTTTTTTTATTATTGGGAGGATTGATGAGAATAATAATTTCTTATTTAATGGAATGTTTCAGTAGTGTTCCAGTAGAAATTTGAAAAAATCATGAAAATATTCAGCGTCATTCGAATTACATTTTAAACACAATTTATTATGCTTTTAAATATTCATTGTTTATAAATAAATAATTAAAGCCGTTCAAACTTTTGGAAATCGTATATTTTTAGACGTGAAATCGATTTCTGGTCAAATTCAGAATATACATAAATTTTTACGATTCTGAACAACTGATTCTGTTTCCCCCTGGAAACAAGTCAATTCAATGATTCACTCAAAAATTCACTTGATCGTTTACTTGCTATAGGGCTTTGTAATTTCGACTATACTGTTGGGAGGGCTCAGATAATTCGTGGGGGAGAGGGGGACAGTATGAAACAGTTAAAATAACGACTGTTTAACGCAATTTTAGCAACAAAAAATTTCATTAAATTTTGTTTATCAACTTTTTTTATTATTGGGAGGATTGATGAGAATAATAATTTCTTATTTAATGGAATGTTTCAGTAGTGTTCCAGTAGAAATTTGAAAAAATCATGAAAATATTCAGCGTCATTCGAATTACATTTTAAACACAATTTATTATGCTTTTAAATATTCATTGTTTATAAATAAATAATTAAAGCCGTTCAAACTTTTGGAAATCGTATATTTTTAGACGTGAAATCGATTTCTGGTCAAATTCAGAATATACATAAATTTTTACGATTCTGAACAACTGATTCTGTTTCCCCCTGGAAACAAGTCAATTCAATGATTCACTCAAAAATTCACTTGATCGTTTACTTGCTATAGGGCTTTGTAATTTCGACTATACTGTTGGGAGGGCTCAGATAATTCGTGGGGGAGAGGGGGACAGTATGAAACAGTTAAAATAACGACTGTTTAACGCAATTTTAGCAACAAAAAATTTCATTAAATTTTGTTTATCAACTTTTTTTATTATTGGGAGGATTGATGAGAATAATAATTTCTTATTTAATGGAATGTTTCAGTAGAGTGTTCCAGTAGAAATTTGAAAAAATCATGGAAATATTCAGCGTCATTCGAATTACATTTTGAACACAATTTATTATGCTTTTAAATATTCATTGTTTATAAATAAATAATTAAAGCCGTTCAAACTTTTGGAAATCGTATATTTTTAGACGTGAAATCGATTTCTGGTCAAATTCAGAATATACATAAATTTTTACGATTCTGAACAACTGATTCTGTTTCCCCCTGGAAACAAGTCAATTCAATGATTCACTCAAAAATTCACTTGATCGTTTACTTGCTATAGGGCTTTGTAATTTCGACTATACTGTTGGGAGGGCTCAGATAATTCGTGGGGGAGAGGGGGACAGTATGAAACAGTTAAAATAACGACTGTTTAACGCAATTTTAGCAACAAAAAATTTCATTAAATTTTGTTTATCAACTTTTTTTATTATTGGGAGGATTGATGAGAATAATAATTTCTTATTTAATGGAATGTTTGAGTAGAGTGTTCCAGTAGAAATTTGAAAAAATCATGGAAATATTCAGCGTCATTCGAATTACATTTTAAACACAATTTATTATGCTTTTAAATATTCATTGTTTATAAATAAATAATTAAAGCCGTTCAAACTTTTGGAAATCGTATATTTTTAGACGTGAAATCGATTTCTGGTCAAATTCAGAATATACCTACATAAATTTTTACGATTCTGAACAACTGATTTTTATGGTGAAAAATTGATTGTTTATAAATTATTAATAGAAAGTGTTCGTAATTTTTAAAAATATCAATTTTTTAATTATAACATCAATCTTTTTTCAAAAGTAAACTTCCACATTTTTTTTCAGATTTTTAAAATGGATTCAATTTCGAGATTAAATTTCAAAAATCTGGAAAGTTAAAATAGAAAAATGAAAAACAAAATACAATCCAATAAAATGAAATCGCGACTAAAATCGTTATAAAATTTCCGGAAACTGATGTGGATTCCTACTCAAATCATTTTTTTAATCAAGTTATTGAGATGTAATATTGATTGTCCTCAATCTCCGGAACAATTACCACTCAAATAAATTACAACACGAACAAAATTTGCACTTACTCTTGGGCTCTCACCCTCCCGATACAGAACGTCGTTGTTTACCTCCGAGGGATTTGCCGGGTCGTAAGAGAAATTCGCCTCCTGCAAAATTTATCATCAAATCAATTGGTTATCTCAACAACCAATTAGTTAACAACAAAAATTAAATACAACAATTTGGAGCGAATCAGCGGGTTATGTCAAACGAACTGTTTATCCTGAAAACAATTTACCTGTAAATTCCACCAGTGAGCCCCAACGTAATTAGCGTAATGCCCCAGTTGGAGAGTAATTATTTCCCTCGTCGTCATCTTGAATATTTTTAATTATTAAAGCGCAAATGGAATTGTTGAACGAACTTTTCGTTCGTTTTGGAGTATTTTTCAGCTTCTCTCGCTGCCAAACCTCGTGTTTGACAGGAGAGTGGGGGAAGTCAGCTGTGACGTCATTTTGCAGTGCCGTCTGTGGGCTTGAGGCCAGGTTTTCCGAGTTGCAATCGTTGATTGGATCAGGATGGATCAGTAGACCGAAAACTCAATGCATTAATGCGTGCAAGGGCTCGAAAATCTGAACTATCAAATGTCTTATTCTTGCATGTTATGAGATAGAAAAGGATAATTCACTGCAATTCTCACGAAAAAAATTGTTACGTTATAACCTCAACCCGAATTTTGTCTCTCTCGAAAGGGCAGAGTAGTGTCACTTATCAGAGGGGAGGCAAAGAAGATTTCAAGAGCAGTTATCGACATGCTTTCATGGTCAGTTACCTTCCCCGCAGGTGATTCATCAACTGCGTCTTCGTCACTCGGAATAAAATAAAACATTCTAGTAATCGAAAATTGCTAGCTTTTTAAAGGAACGTAATAGTATATTTCGTAACGAGTGCAAAAAAGTGTTTTTTGGCGAGTGGGAGGTTTATGTCACGAGCCGAAGGCGAGTGATATAATCCCACGAGCTAAAAAACATTTTTTCATCACGCTGTGACGAAAAGTGAACTTTTCGTGAGAAGACCCGGTAAACCGCGATTCTAACCTCGCTTCGCTCGGTTTGATCACGGTTTACGGGCCTTCTGACGAAAAATTGCATTCATCACACGGTCCAAAAGTATTTTCTGACGAAGGTGATTATAGGCCTCGCCTTCGGCTCAGCCTACAAAACCACATTCGTCAGAAAATACTTTGTGGACCTTGTGATGAAAATAACTATTTCGGCACGCTCCGCGTGCCTAAAAGTCCAATTTCCGCCACATTGTGATGAAAAATATTGTTCGTAACTCGTGAAAAAATGTTTTTTAGCTCGTGGGATTATATCACTCACCTTCTGCTCGTGATATAAACCTCCCACTCGCCAAAAAACACTTTTTTGCACTCGTTACGAAATATACTATTTCACGAGTTACGAACAATATTTTTCATCACAATGTGGCGGAAAGTCCACTTTTCGTCACAGCGTGATGAAAAAAATGTAAAAAACCCGTCGAGGTAATTAACGTAAATTACGCCGGTAAAAAACGGTGAAATTTACTAACGTAATTCACACGCCCAACCCTGAATATAGGGAAGAGTGGGGTAAAATGAAACAGCGGGGCAAAATGAAATGAAATGTAATCAAACATTGTAATCGTTGACAATCGGAATGACAAAAATGCAATTTTTAGACCATGTCTCTACGTTGTAAACAAATATTTTTCGATTGTTTGCTAATGCATTGACGGAATTGAATCTTTTTCTCCTTAAATGCAGGACTTGTTGACCGCTATCAATCACCATTAAGTAAAATTCAATTTAATTATTCATTTTTTTAATTTCTTAATTTTTCCAAAAATTAGTTTTTCAACGATAACTTTAAAAAATGTTTTAAATTCATTAAATGATGACTTAAAAAATTTGATTAGATGTCGTGTTGACCGAGTTCGAAGATGAAGGCGACTACAATAATCGTTGTGTTTATTTATTTTTTATTTTGAAAAAATTCTGTTTTTTTTCGAAAATCAGAATTCCGGGGATATCTTTGAATATCATGCTTCAAATGAATTCAATCGTAGCGTAAAATATTTCTTTCAATACCATTAAGTCGAAGTTAAAAGATGATTACGATAGCTATGTTGGTTGATTTGATTTTTATGATGATTTATGAGAATGTATATTTCTTACAATAAAGAACGTTAAAGTATAATAAATCAGAATGTATCAAATTAAGTTAATCTGATTGCGAAGACAAATGAAAATGAAATAACATAAAATAATATAAATTGAGGATCAATGCATTTATTGATTCATCAATTCATTTACTTATTCATTTATTTATTCATTCATTTCTTCAAGCCTGTATGGAGACCTAACAGCACAAGGCAAATAACAAAGTCAAATGACTCAATATAAAAAATAACTGTTTAAAACCTTCTTAATTGCATATTCGCGAAATAACGTGCATTGCACTTTCACTGGGATCCATCATAGAAGTGGGATAAACGTCTTCGCATGCAGCACTCCCCGAAGTATTTTTATCTCTCACCTATTGATCCAGTTTCCCGTGGAAACGTAACAATTCGATTTTTCCCATCTCGTTTGACATGGATTTAACTCGATAACCAGAGGTTCTAGGGGAAAATGTCAGGATACTTTTTTTATTGGGAATTTCGTCAGCTACAAAAATGTTTATTTGACATTTTCGTCTACACCCACTTGTTTCAGAGATAAATGCAATCGGGGAAAATATCTCAGTAGAATGAGTTGTAAAAAATCGAATTCGGCTGATTTTTTCTGTAGAATAATTTCCATTGAACATTTATATCGATAAAAACGCGCGGATGAGTGGTGAATTTTTTCAGTAGAATCGGCCGAAAACTAATGGAAAATACAATGTTAATCCAGCAGAATTTTCTAGCGAATTCACCAGGTTTTTTTATGAAATTTTTTCTTGTGTTTTGCAAGGCTGACAGTCGGCAAAAAAAATCTCCAATGCCATCGTATCCACTTGCAGCATAAAATACATCCCAATTATATCTCAATTCCGTACCAATTGACGGAAATCCGCGGATTATCGCGAGTTCAAAGGTCGTCTCCAAGAAGGTCAGGGACTCCCTCCGAATTTGATAAAATCATTCGTCATGAAGTCTCGAGCCACAATCGCCCCAATAATTACGTTTTTCTTGTATTAATCCGACAATTCTGCTCTGTCCATTTCAATCTTTATTAATTACACAACAAAATCCGATGTTTTTTTTCATAAATCTCTTCATTTCAAAGATATTGATAAATTTGTCTTCATTTTCATGTTCCAATGATTCATAATTTTTTTTTTCTTTCAAAATATTTTTATGAGCTTCAACAATAAAATGGAACTTGCGTCCCACCACTCATGTACACAATAAAATTACTCTCCACACGTTGAACTATGATTTTTTCAATGAAATTTTATGATTCGTTCCCCAATACAATTTAATATCCTCAAAATTACCACTAAAATTCGTGAATTTTTTATGCCAATAAAAATACAAATTAAGGAAGAAAGGCAATGGGTGTCTTTATGAAAAAATTTGGAGAGAAACTTAAGCAGAAAATTTTGAGAATTATGTGGAGAGAAAGTTACGCAGATCATTTTGTGAACTGTTCATATTGACACATGTGTTTTCATTTTGATCCACAGTTGCGACAACAAAAATTTGAGAAAAGGATTGACTATCTCGATGTATAGCGATGTATCTCGAGGTGATTTTTTCATTGCGTTAATCCAACCAATTCAGCTCTGTCCATGTCAACCTCTCCCAACACTCACGCAGAACGCAATGTTTAATCCTCACCAACTCGAGATCATCCGAGTGAAACTCAATAATTTTTTTTATGCCACTCATGCCTGAAACCGGCTGGATTACACACTCGACGCTTCGCGTCTCGTGTCTAATTCAGCCGGTTTCAGGCTTCGTGACATAAAATTTTGTTCAGTACTTGTGGGGAAATTTCGTCCTTAACGTGTGTGGTTACATCACTCGCCTTCGGCTCATGCTGTAAACCCCACAACGTTAAAGACGAAATTGTCCCACACGTGCTGAAATATACTATTTCATTTCGAATGTATTTTTTAAGCCCCAAAATGTGCCCCCATTCCCTCCAATTTCCCCTTCCCCGAGGGACATCGACAATTTAACAAGGTTCATTCTCACTTACGTTCCACCACTCACGCACACAATCAAATCATTCCCGACACGTTGAACTGTGACGTGTTCCGTGGCGTGCTCAAGTGTATTTTAGTCAACCACTCCAGTTCAGTTCAGTGTGCACGAGTTCGTCAGCTCGTGCAGTCGGAGTTACCACCGCAGTGCCATTAACATCAATCAATGCACAACACTGCAGTTTCGACGTCTTCTGTTATCATTTGACAAGACAACGAGGGGAGAATTAGAACACCAGGGGAATTGAATGGTTCACACATTTGTCCCATAAAATGTTCATCGATGATGTTATCTATGTCATCGTGTTGCTGTTGTGCATCGGATTCGGCCAAGTGTTCAGGGGACTCAAGGATGCCAATACCAAACAGTGGGTGTCCACCGGCTTCGGGTTACTCGTGGGCTCCGTTGTTTCCGGTGTGCACATTTTACACCCTATTATAAGTACTGTTATTGCTGCGGTTTTGATAACAAATTTGTCACATAGGTGAGTTGAAAATGATTTATTTCAGTGGGCGAAGTGGTAAAATGATTTAAGTCGACTTATCTCAGTTGAGTTTTTGAGGAATATTTCGAATTTAAGGGAAATCGTGAAATTTTCGTAATTACATTTGTTGTTGCACGCTATTTGCTCTACATAAAAGGTCTCATAACAATAATTATATTATAATAATGATTATTAATAATTATAAATAATTAATTTTAAAGATTAAAATTAACAAAACGACGTTAAAAATTTATGATTAATTATTAATTATATTTATAATAAAATGGTAAATATTAAATAATTAAGCACCCATTTTTTAAAATTATAATTATTAATTATAATTATAATTGACGTCGACGTCGGTTTGTCACGTTTGATTTTTAACGTCCTTTTGTTAATTTTAATTTTTTTCATTATATTTATTATTAATAATTATTAATAATAATAATAATAATAATAAACTGCCATATTGCAGTTCATAAAATTCTTTACGAGATGATTTCTCCAGGGGAAGTGTCCGGAGAAATTTATTATAGATAATTCCATGATCTCCAAAAAGGTCACTTGACTCTGCTGATAAATGCAGCAATCTCGGAAATACTCAAGACAATGAATTTTTGTTTATCAAGAACGAGACACATAGCTGCCTTTTTCTTCTCCTTCTTCTACCTCCTCTTCGTATTTCGCCTGTGCGATTGGTATGGCGCGGAAATACCCTCGACCCACACGAATCTCCTCCAGATGATCATCACCCTGAGGCTCGCCGGCCTCGGATTCGAGATGAATTCGGCGGTTGAGAGTCTCAAGGAAGACCCCAACAACAGGACTTACAAGGCTATGAAAAACATCGGGTTCCTCGATGTGTGCCATTTTTCAATGGGATACGTGGGACTTTTAACAGGTGACTACTTGCACTCTTCCACGAGGAAAAAAAGGAAGGTATTTTTTCGAACAAGAACAATAATAGCAGCCAAGTGGTAAAACGGTTCAAGTCGATCTTGACTATTGGCCAGATTTCAATGAATATCTCGGAATCTAAGGGAGATAGAAAAATTTGTATTGAAACCTTTTCTGTAGAGCGAATTGAGGGCTACAAAAAAGGTTATTACGAAAATTTTGCTATCTCCCTCAGATTGGGAGATATTCCTCAAAAATCAGCAGAAGCCTAAATCGACTTTGTTTTACCGATTTGTTACTGATATTTTCTGAAATATTCAAGGAATCGTCAATTTTCAAATCCATACAATGAAAACTGTCAAAGTATTATTCTCAAATTTTAATTAATTAATCTTAATTAATTAATGAACTTACAGTTGTCATTGTCAAAAAAATTTTGATTTCAATGGAAATTTAAACTGTGTGATGATTCAACTCGTCAGTAGCCAATGACGAGAGGAAAAATACAATGATTCAGCGAAATTCTGCATTGGAATACGTCAGACATGACCTTTTTTAGAATTACGCAATTATCTCGGTAATGAGGGATTCTGGAGCAAAATACGAAAGTATTTCGATCACTTCTGCATGTTAAAACATTCAGTAAAAAACTTCATCATTGAAATTGAAAATGGACTTGCAGAATGAATGGAGTACCTCTCCGATTAGTGACTCTGAAACCCTTTTGTAGAGAATTTTATCAGTTGAAAGAAAATTCTCACAAGAATCTTCACATCTCTAGATTCTCAGATATTCAACTGGACCTGTTGTTATAAAATGAAAAATTGATATAGCAGCAATTCAGACATGACACTTTTTTTCATGTCTCACAATCTTATCTCGAAAATTAATTTCCCATTTTACCAGAATCTGTCTATTCACATTGGCTATTGTTTAGAATTTATTTCCGATTTTAATTTTCGACATTCAAGTTATTTACACAACTTTAAAGACAGAAAGCATCTAGTGCCATTAACTGGCACATTGAACTTGTCTTATCTATCAAATGATGATGAAACTGTAATTACTAAAAATAATGTCATTTCGTTTCCCCCTTCGCTATTGATTACCAATGCTCAATGCATTATTGATGGTCTAATCGGGGAATTTCCGCAGGTCCTTACTACACCTACAGAACGTACTGGGACTCCATACACCACAATTTCGGTGACTACATCGACTGCAAAGGTCAAACCCTCCAGAAACTGAAGAAAATAGCTGTTGCTGTCGTTTTCCACCTGTTCTTCAACTACTACTATCCCATAAGTGTAATTACACACTAGTGGCGTGATAACACGCACGACAAAATTCCACAGAAAAACTTAGCGAATTCGTTTTACTATTCAATAGAAAATATTCTATAGATAAATTCGAAAAAAATCAATTTTTCTATACAAAACATTCTATTGAGATATTTTCTACAGAATCAAGTTTTTCTCGCCTCAAGTTTTCTTCATTCTATTTTTCTTTTCTGTTCATAAAAAAATCGAAACAGAAAAATTTTGAGGCAAGGAAATTCCATAGAAAATATCTCAGTAGAATAAGTTGTAAATAAAACGACATTCTGATTTTTCTACAAAATATTTTTCATTTAACATTCCAACAGAATTGTCTAACGAATTCACTAGGTTTTTTTATGAATTTTTTTTCTTACGCGAATAGCATGATAAGCAGTTGATAAACCACAAATTACTGGTGACTATCGTTTGTTCTATTTACAGTACGTTTACACCGAGGAGTTCCAGGGGAGATCGCTGTTGTACCGATACTTCTATGTCTACCCCTCGTTTTTCAATTTCAAGACGAGGATATACGCCGGGATGATGCTGTCCGAGTGCGTCTGCCACATGGCTGGGCTTGGAGCTTATCCCACGAGCAGTGAGCCTCGATCGGGACTGGGACCGACGGACTACAAGAAAATTTTAGAACTGTAATTACAATTTTCCATAATTTCATGTGCAAAAGTTTCATAGAAAACAGGATATTTAGAGGGAAATTCCATTGAATTTTTGTTGAATTTTCAATGGTAAATTTTCTATGGAAAAAGTAAATGGAAGTCAATTTTTCTATTTTTTTTATGTTTGCAAAACAGTCCATTTTTTTTTTCACCATCAATTGAATATTAATTGATTTTTTTCAGCGTAATAAGTAACTCATAAGAACTTTCTTTTATTCACTGAAAATCTCCGCGAAAAAGGTCTCTCAATATCGCTCATCACCAAAATAATTCAATATTTTGAGTTGATGAATAAATACTCTCAATATTATTGTTCTCAATCGATAATTTGGATCCACTAGAGCCGACAATCCCGAAAAACTGAAATCCGAGAAGATGGACTTTGAGACTGTCCACAATATCGACATTCCCGAGGTGGAGAGGTGCTTCTTGGTGAGGAAAGCCATGAAATCCTGGAACATCACTGTGCAGTACTGGATGGCAGCTTACGTCTACAAGCAATTCCCCAGCAAATCCCTGAGGACAGCCGCCACCTTCATGATCTCAGCTGTGTGGCACGGCTGGGCATTTGGATACTACGTTTCACTATTATCGCTTATATTTTTCCTACCGGTGGAGGATCTCTACGTGAAGTTCTATAACCAGAGTCAGGACAATAGTTTGGTGAGTCCCTAACTATATTCGCTGATAATTCCGAAATTTTCACAAATTTTGGTGAAATTTCTCAATTATAGTTAATTAACTTTGTGACGATCTTGCTGTCAAGTGATTTGAGGAGAAAATACCAGGAACTTTTCAGTCTGTAAAATTCTACAAAAATTTCTTGGCATTTTTCTCTAAACCCGAACTGTACTAATTTTGATCACTCCTTTTTCTCCCTATTTCTTATGAAGGCCCCACTAATAATTACGTAATAATCTTCTTAACGAGTTGTTCGAGATGTCAGCAATCTTAACAAATCTTGAAATTCTCTAGAAAATCTAGAGAAATTCTTGACCCACTAGTTTCAGAAATGTCTGCAATAATCGACATTAATTTTTTTCACTCATCCCCAGTGAACACTCCATCAATCGATCACATAATTAATTACCTCATTAACAAATAATTCAGGGTAGAATATCACGAAAACGTCAGTTCACCAAGTTCTCAAAAATATTTGACATTTTCCTCCAATTTACTCAATCTCCAGATAATTTTATAATTTGAAAATATTCTTGTCAATTACAGAGGAAAAACGGACTCTGGGTTCTCCTCTACTTCCTCAGATTCTCCTGCATGTCCTACTTGGGAATTGGTTTCCAACTGCTGGAGTACGACAATACAGTCTACTACTTCACCAACATTTACGCCGCTGGCCACGTTTTAGTGGGGATACTATACATAATCGGTCGTCAGATGAAGCCGCTGACAATTGTTGAAACTGATAAGAGGCTGTGAATTACAAAACCCCTCGTTGTTGATGTTACGAAAGTACCTCTTTGCATTATAACGCCCGTGATCTTCCACTATCTTGTTACCAATTTCAAAGACGAAACGAAGGATGTGATAATGCACAATTATACATATTTATGCACAACAGCTGAATTGAGAGGAGCAGGAATTTTATATACAGATAATTAAGGAGTTGAATGGATTTGAATTCTAAATAAAAATTATTAGAGATTTTATATTTTTTTAGAAGCATTTTATTCAATTCTACCCACAGGAAAATACTCGATTCAGCTATAACTGTAGGATAAATTCGAAATTATTTAAGTGGTTTTAGAAGAAAAGGTCGAGACATTTTTTGTAGAGAATTTCACAATTTAGAAAAAAAAACTCTTGACATTTTCCACTGAGACAAGAATTTTAAGACAAAATCTGTAAAAAATGTCAATAGATCTTTCTTGAAGCTTGTGAAATTGCCTAGAAAGAGGCCTTTGACATTTCCTCATCAAACTGCTCACAGATAATTAAACAATCAACGAAGACTGCACTAGTAATCACTGATGAATACTTACGTGCCCCAGTACCTGCAATAAACTCAACATTAATAAACAAATAATCCCAGTAGACATCGCAAATAATGTAGACCACTTTTCAAATCATAATCTCAATCCTCATTTTCAGCATAAAACCGAAATAAAATCATTCAATAGTGAAGCTGCTGAACCCAATTCCCATTCTCCACTTTCTGATAAATTCCCACTTATCCCATAACGATTTATTCTAAGAGGGAAAGTCAAGAGGCATCACTTGCAAAAATGTTGTCCTCTGAAAGACTTTCCCTTGAAATTTTCCCCTCGAACGACCCCCCCCCCCCAGATAACTGCAAAAAGAAAAAAGAAAAATTCCCATTTCCCAACGAAAACTAAAGAAAAATTGTCTTCAATCATTGGAGATATCTCGAGAATGTCAGAGTGAAATTTAAAAAATCAAGCGTCATTTTAAACATTTCTTTATAATATTCAAAATGATACTTGATTCACCAGATTTGCACTGTTCAGTCATCGAATATCTCACATTTTGAAAAAAAAACGGATGAATTAATTTAAAAGAGAAACCTGGAACTTTCCTCGGGTGATTCTATTAAATTTATTTTGAAATTCTATCAATACTTCAATAGATTAATAAGAAACCAATAAAAACAATTTTAAAAAATTCAGTAAAAAAAAAATCCATTGTTTATCTTTTTATATAACTCATTCTGCTGAGATTTTTTTGGTGTGAAAGTTCCTGGGCATGATTTTTACAAGGTTTTTTCTCTAGGATTTTTTAATGAGACATGAAAAAAAGAATAGAAAAACTTGGAAAATTGATGCCTAACAATTTTTGCAGAAAGAATCTGAAGAGAATAATTCATACAGAGAAATCAAAATCTATCAGTTTTTTTCTTGAATTCCAGAAAAATTCAATTGAACAGAATTTCTTACAGAAAGCCCCCGGTTTATCAATCGAATTTATTCATAAGTCCAATTTTCCCCACAATTGAGCTGAACAAATAGTGGGATATTGGAGAATAATCAACGACGTTGATTAAATTGCCTAATTGCGACGTTTCAACGAATTATTTTAGCTTCCACATAATTTAGGAATTCTAATATTGGAAATTAACCCTAGTTTGGTCACCATATGAGAACTTACGACTTGGTCACCTCCGCAGGGAATCGCCGCCGTGTTATTTAGGCCCGAGCGTTGCCGAATTCACTCTATACTGCCCGGGCGCGTTTAGCGAGACTTCGGCAACGTCGCACAACGGGCAATTTCATTTAACATGATTAGAAATAATTTTTTCTTCAGGAATTGTGGATATAAATAATTTTAAAAAATATTATAATTTTGTAGACACTTGAATTGACGCATTCCAATTTTTTAGGATTTTTTCCGCTCAGCCAGTCAATGGTAAGAAAAAAAAATCGACCTTCTGCGGCGTTTCCCTCCTATGGTGACCAAAACCGGGTTAAAATTGGCATCATAAAATAATAGAAAAAAAATCGTTACTCTCTATACCGTATGTTTTCCACTGTTTCACGATGCAAATGTTAATTCTCAAAATTAGAATTCTAAATAATGTCTTCATGAAATAAAGCCAAAACAATTTATCAAACTTTGCAATTTGAAAATCTAATCAACGTCGTTATTTCTTCAATATATCACACTCGAAAAAATTTCATAGAAAATTTCTGTTGGAAATTCTATTAATTTTTTACCTGTTCTACAGTGCATTTTTGAGTAGAAAATGTCCAATGCCAACTATTTCATGGAAAAAATCAACAGAATTTCATCTTTCTACACAAATTTTTCTATCAAGACATTTTCTATAGGAATTCCTCGGCCTCAATCTTCTCATTTTTTATCACTTCTATTTCTTTTTTTTTCATAAAAAGAATCAAACAAAAAATTCCGAAAATTCTAGCCGAGGAACTTCCAGCAAAAATATGTGAACAGACCAAGTTGCATAGAAAAATCCCACTCTATTCATTTTTCCTATAGAATTGTTTCTCCCAAACATTCCTACAGAAAAAAGCTCACGTAAGCATCGAAATGTTCAAATAGAATCATCCAAAAACAAAGCCAGAAAATCCATTAGAATTTTCGCTAAATTTTTCCATGAAATTTTCAAAATTTTGAATGTCCCCCGAATTTCACTCTCAATTAATCGTCACAGACTGCCCTCCCCTCAATTCCCCATAACTCTCATTCCCCACTTCCCCCCAGGAACAAGTAAATCCCCGGAACAATGACAACTCACGGTTGAAAGTGGAGTGACGAGTAGACACGTAATAATATCGTCTCAGGAGAATAATCTCCAGAGAGTTGAATCCTAAATCTCTCCACCATGTCGTCAGCCCTAAACGATCAACAACATTTGTCCCCATTTCGGCCAAGGATTCCGTGAAAAATCAGAGGCCTTCAAACAGTTCCAAACATCATCAACTCGTTTAATCTCGCATAGTTAATCCGTCAAGGCCATCCGGTTACCCCACGTTCTTTCGCCAACTACCGATGGTGTCTGGTGATGATTAATTCGTAACTGTCGATTCGCTAAATTCGGCTGATAACTGCACAAACCCCAGAGAACTCTCGATTGACTCGATCTATAATTATTTAATCGCGAAACTGCTCGTTATTTTTTTTTTTTTTTCACCAGACCACCAATCGCCTCTCGACAACAGCAAACAGCACAGATCCCCGCTACTTCCGGTTAACTGCTTACTCTCAGCTACCACCCCATCATCGGCTACACTCGACACGCCACTCCTTTCCACCGCCTGTGGCACCATAAAATCACAACTTAGTTACGTGCTATAACTTAGCTGCATCCATATTATTTTTGGTTTATGTACTTTTTGGGGCGGTTGCAACGGATGGAGGCACATGGGCTGCGATTTTATTTCAGGTTCTTGCGGTGGGTGCGCCCAGAGTTATTGCGTTTGAATCAAGTAAAACATTCTATTTGATTTTATAAATATTGTATGAATGGTGTCTTGCATATTTCTCGCGTATTTCATTTCATATGCATCGTCTTGTGTGAATGATCCGCCTCTAGAGCTTAATATTTCGTTTTTGTTGACAACACAGCAATTATTCATATTTGAGACTTTCTAATTCGAACCGAAAAATGATTTTTTGGCAATTTTCGACTAACGATTCAGTGCAGTGAACCGGTAAAAGGGGGGACACTGAGAAAAAAATTACTTTCGCGAAAGAAAAATTTTCTTTGGAGCGTAATTCTCCAGGCCAGTCATTCCCAGGCAGTCCACGTCTCCCAGTGTATTTATATTGGAAATTTATAAGCTCGTGAATTAATATTCATCAGTTTGAGTTTTAAAAAGCTCATGAATTCATTAACTTCAAGGAAATCCTGTATTAGAATCAAATGCGCGATTTATCTGATCAAAATAAGGATTATTACACGTTAATGCATTCGTTCTTCTCCCGGTCTGAGTAATGATTTGATTTTTCAGTAATAGTCCTTATGTGAATCGACGAAAAAAATTATTTCTTGAATAAATCCTTTACTTGATTCAAACAAAGTTTATTCAATTCAAATAAACTCGTTCCTCTGGGTGCAGGGAGGGAAAGGAGTATCTGATAAATCGCGTTATTGGTAGTTTTTTGGAGAATTCTGTGTGAGAAGTGGGTTTAGAGGATAATGTCGAAGAGTTTTTGGTCACCAACAAAACCCGTCTCGACATTTTTCAGTTGCGTAATTATAAAGTGAAGTGCAACAACGATGTCAATAAATTTCAAGACTAGTTTTTGGTAAATATCCATGAAATTGAAGGGATGGAGGACTTTTCGTGAAGAGTTCTGGCTTCACGCAAATGGCTTCATCCCATGGATCACGAGATAATTAAGAAAACTTCAGGTCTGAGGGAAATTTATTCATCTTTTACTTCTTCACTCGATAATTATAAATCTCTTCTTGAGTAGTTTTAAAAGAGAATACGGAGATGACTGTAGAGAGGGGATTTTTGAGGGGAATTTTGTGGCTCTTGATATTTCCATAATTACGAAGTGAACTCGGGAAATGAAATGAACAGTTTTTTCTCGAAATATAAGAGACGTCCCCATGAGAACTTCTCCACCTCCCTTTGCTAATTAAAAAAAAATTTAAGGCCCGCGTGTATTATCTTTCGAACGTGATCTTGTTTTTTTTTATTTTGATAATCTGAAATGTTCTTCAATTGCCGTTCAGTTTTACATAGCCCTGAATCCTTCAAAAATTGTGATTGTAGAATCAAAAAAACGTTTAAAAAAACAGAACATTTTCAAAAAGCGTTTTGGAATAATATTGAGAAATAAAATTGCAAATGAATAATTTACAGTATCTAATTAGTGGTCACTCGTCATTTGCCTCAGTAGCCAATGCCTGTCAGATCGTTAGTTGCCATGATAAATTATTCATTTACAATTTTCATCTCACCTCATCTTTATTAAAAATGCTTTTTGAAAATGTTCAGTTTTTTTTTCTCTTTTTTTGATTGTGCAATCGTAATTTTCAGGGACACCTACGTGACGTAAAATCCAATGGAAATCGTGAAATATTTAAGATTATGAGGAAGGAAAAACAATTGAGATGACGTTCGAAAGATAGTCCCCATCCGGGCCTTAAAGTCCGAGAAAAATTTATTCATCTCACTTCACAACTCCACTTCGTTGTCACGATTCTTTACCTGACGAAATTCTCTCCAAAAAATCACTCTCGACATCTTCTCCTCAATCCCCTCAACACGGTATTCGACATTTATCGAAAAATGTGCATTTCTCTTGATTCTGTCTCTCCCCTTTCCAATTACAAAAATCCTCGCGATTATAATTCAACCCTATACGATGCCATACGTTTCTACAAACAACCTCGTGATTATTAACAACTATTACTTGTTAATCACTGTTTTAGAAACCTTCATACATGCAGATGAATATTTGAGCTCTCTTGCGTCAGTATACACATCTTCTTAGTTATACTTTATTATAAATGGCAAACGTACATAAATAAACCTGAAAAATTGATAATTACAGAAAAACGCAAAACTTATGGTCTAGAAAAACTGTTTCTACATACTGCGAAAAGTCTACATTTTATATTTTTTTCATTTTACGTTTACGATTTTATATTGTTTTATCTTCAAGGAAATTTCGTGGTGAGAATAGTTCAGTAAACTCTCGGTTATGGTTCTAAGGTCCTTCAGTTATTATTACCTTTGTCAATTTAGCAATTGGTTAAACTCAGTATTAATTCACTCTATTCGTAAATGAGAGAATGAGAAATAAAAAATTATACATGTTGTAAACTTATTTTAAAAACGCTGCGTATAATCAGTAAATCATCACTGACATCAAATCCGTCATTGATTACGGCTCTTCCCAATAATTGTCCATTAATTCATTGATTTTAATTTATTGATAATCAATAGTGATCAATAATAGCAATACCCGAAATATTTTCGAATGACTAAGAGTCGAATGTTTATTCAATATTACAATTCATTCATGTTGGATGTTTTTTTTTTCATATTTGGTTAAAAATTAAAAAAACCCAAGTGCGTCACCATGGTTAATATGAAAGAGAAAAAAACAAACTAACGAAATTATGATGCGATAATTGCTCCGAACGTGCTAAGTGTTTTTTTTCTTTTTTTGTGTTTTTTTTAAGGTATGGAGAGTAGTTTGAATATACCTTTTGCAGACTGTGAGAACGATTCGGGCACTTTCATCGTGACTGGCACGTCTCAATGCTGTACTCTCATACCTCATCAGCGCTTCAGTCTCTGGGAATTAAAATGAAAAACATTCTGACTTAACGGAATATTGTTTAATGAAATGGGTAGGTGATTGGTAGAATGAGAAGTGGTTGGGGGGGAGGGTTTAGGGGAAAATGTCAAAGGAGATCTACTGGGCAAATTTTATTTTCTATAAAAATTGGTCTCGTGACATTTTTCGATGGTCAACGAGATATTTGTCTCTGTGAGCATTTGTTAATTGCGGAATTGAGAATTATCTGGGAAACGAGTGGTTGAGAATGGTCAGATCATTTGAACATCGTTTATTTTTTTTTATTTAAGATGGTTTAAAAATTAAAGAATTTTCCTCGAACTTGAAAAAAATAATTTTTCGAAAAATGATACATATCCTTGAGAAAGTGTCATTCTTTATGAAAAATTCTGAAATTTACAAGAAAAAATCTGACATTTTCTCATGAAATCACTCGTTACCAAGATAATTCAACAATTTCTTAAGGACGAGATAAAATGCAACAAATAATTTTTTACAAATTCTTAAAAGGTGGATGATCTTCACACGAAATTGTTCTAGATGAAAATGCCAAAAATATTGTTGACCAGAAATTTATTATTCTACAGAGAAGGGCATTTTTCTTTAAATCCCTCGTTTTGGAAATTAATAGAAAATTAATTACAATAAAAAAAAATTACTAAAATACAAATTGTGTTTAATTGTTGAGGTACCAAAAATATGAAGAAAATTGAGGATTAAACATTAGGAATTGGTATTCTACCTTGACTTGGAGCGGCTGTTGTTCTGCCTGTCTGCACTCTTGCTGCGTGAGCGGGACTTTCCTCGGGAGCTTTTGCTGTCTGAGCGCGAGCGACTGTGGCTGCGGCTGTAGGAGCGTCTACGATCACGGTCACGGCTTCGTGACCTTGAACGAGATCTGGAGCGAGACCTCCTGCGATCACGGCTGCGACTGCGAGACCTAAATAGAATAAAAGAAAACGATTTAAAATCCGAATATTTCATCTCCTTATAATTTCTCTGTATCTCCAAATAATTCTGCAATTAAATATTTAATTGAATAATTATTGAATGCCTTCCAATCAATTTTTAGTGTTGAAAATCCCCTAAAAAGCCTGTATATACTGAAGACAAGCTGACAAAATCTCTAACTTAAATAAAAAAGCTCCAATTTCATAAGCGAAAATGGAAATTTAATTGGACATTGCAATGGGGACTTACACAACCTAACTAAATTAAAAAATTATCCAGTTCACCCAATTAATCATCTATAGGGTAAACAGGTCAATTTCTGGACGGGGGTTAATTTCTGGACGATTTCAACTTGCATTGAATATTCCACAAATAAAATGAAAATTGTATTGATTATTTCACCTCTCCATAATATTATGATCACTTGTGTATAATCATGTGATCAATTACTTTCTTCTATTGATCAACATTTAATGAATAAAAAAAAATATGACCCAGGCGTCCAGAAATTGGGGTTTCGGCTACATTCAACTATTTCTCAATTTAATTATTCTTTGTTTTGTTATTTTCACTTTAAACTATTTTTTTCTGCTAATGAAAAAATTCTTGAAGGTATGGAAGCCATCATATCCCCATTTAGGTGATTCTTTTATTTTAGATCCTACCACAAAACTCGAATTTCCTTGAACCGTCCAGGAATTGGCCTGGTCACCCTACCCAGAACGTTCCCACAAAAACTAAACAAAACTGCTCCAATTTACAAATAAAACAATCTCTGAAAATTTAAAACAAACCGTTTTGGAACAGCACAATTCTCCTCCCCTTGAGCTCTTCTACAAAAAAAAAAAGTTTTCAAATAAAATAACTAATTAGAAATTGTAGTGGGGGTTAATGACTCCTCACTCACGTATTCAATCGAATAATACTTGAATTCAACCCAATTATTCATCTCCACCCAAACCCCTCCCACAAAAACAAAACAAAACTCAACTGCTCCAATTCTAAATAAAAGAATCTCGAAAAAACGGCTTAGAAAAAAAAATCCTCGCCTCACGCTTTCACAAAAAAAAAAAATTCTCAAACAAAATAATTAATTAGAAATTGTAGTGGGGGTTGACTCGTAACTTACGTACTCAATCGAATAATAATGGAATTCAACCCAATTATTTATCTCCACCGAAACCCCTCCCACAAAAACAAAATAAAACTTAACTGCTCCATTTTCTAAATAAAACAATCTCGAAAAATACAATAAAAACGACTTGGAACAAAAAATCCCTCCCCTGGAGCTGTTTCACAAAAAAATAATAATTCTCAAATAGAATAACTAATTAGAAATTGTAGTGGGGGTTAATGACTCCTCACTCACGTATTCAATCGAATAATACTTGAATTCAACCCAATTATTCATCTCCACCCAAACCCCTCCCACGAAAACAAGACAAAACTCAACTGCTCCAAATTCTAAATAAAAGAATCTCAAAAAAACGGCTTAGAAAAAAAAAATCCTCGCCTCACGCTCTTTCAGAAAAAAAAAAATTCCCAAACAAAAAAACTAATTAGAAATTGTAGTGGGGGTTGACTCGTAACTTACGTACTCAATCGAATAATAATGGAATTCAACCCAATTATTTATCTCCACCGAAACCCCTCCCACAAAAACAAAACAAAACTTAACTGCTCCAATTTCTAAATAAAACAATCTCGAAAAATAAAAAACGACTTACGACAAAAAATCCCTCCCCTGGAGCTCTGTCACAAAAGAAAATAATTCTCAAACAAAATAACTAATTAAAAATTGTAGTGGGGGTGAATGACTCGTAACTTACGTACTCAATCGAATAATCACTCAATTAACGCAATTAACCCTCAACTCCGAGAATAAACCAAAACTGCTTCAAATTACCAATAAATCAAAGTCTAAAAATTGAAGAAAAAAAACCTCTTAAGCAGTGTAACGCCCCTCCCTCTCGCGCTCTTCCCCAAAAACCAGAATAAGGTTCAAATAAAATAGCTAATTGCAGATAGCAGTGGAGTTCGATGACACCAAATTCAATGAATTCCCCATATCTAATAAAACCCTCCCACGCAACAAACAAACTTCTCCAATTACCGAATAAAATCCACTTACCTCCCCCTGCGACGACTTCCACGGCTTCTGTGTGGTGATGTTGGCCTGCCATACCGTGCCATTTGCACTCGAAGCTCCCTTCCATCGAGCAGACGTCCATCCATGGCGTCGAGTGCATCCTCAGCATCGCGTTTATCATAAAACCTATTGAAAAAAAATGGAAGAACCATTAAAAATAAAACAAAACATGTGAAAACCTCAGAAGTGAAAATTAAATCGTCACGATTTCTCGTCTCGATCTCGATGACACAAAAATGGAGGAGCATGACGTCACGCTAACTGCCTCGTTCACGCCTGGGGGCCACACGGTGGTGAAGAGCCCCCCCGGATGCTCCGAAAAAGCCGTCGACAACTGGAAAAAAAAAACGACTTTACTCACCTGACGAATGCGAATCCTCGGCTCTCCCGGGTGAAGCGGTCCCTGGGGATGTAGATATCGCCGACCTCGCCGCAACGCTCGAACACGCGTCGCAGGTCCTCCGGTGTTGTGCGATAAGTCAAGTTATCCACCTTCAGGGAGACCATCCCGTCGATGCGGGGAGGCGGACGTCCGTAACTCATCCTCGATGTGGCTTTAGGATGGTCAATCAACTGTTTTCGGTATTTCACGGTGAAACGTTTGTTCGGGCGCACCAACGTCGGCACGCGTCCACGAGAAAATGGCGTGTGATTTCTGCCCGACAAACGACGACGCTACGACTCCCGTTCTAGACCGGAAGTGGGGGGACTACGTGGGTTTTTGAGGGGTTATTTCTGTTTTATTCTGGTTTTTTCGTGTTTTGAGCGGGAGGATGGAGTGAAAAAGTCTTTTTGGTAATTATTTTGGCTGGGAATTTTGCGGTCGGCGGGGCGCGAGGGTTTTTGGGGGGAAATTAGCGGCGGAGGGGTGTGGACTTGACTTCCGGTTGGAGGTGGGTTTCAAACGCTCGAGAGGTTCAATGGGAAATAGTCATCATCAGAATGAAGAGACATTCTTCACGAGATGTTGGAGAGTTGTAGATTTTTTTTTTCAAAAGAAGATGAGAATTGATATTTTTTTAATGATAAATGCGGAAAATCGGAAAGCTTGAAGTCTCAATAGTTTCGATTTCTCTTCTTTTTCTGTTTTTATGACACTGACTGAAATATTTTGAGGCGATGACTATAAAATAGTGTTTACAGTTATCGCGAGCTTATTTCTATTCCATTTATTTTCTATACTGAAGGGAGAANAAATTATTCGGGAATTGATAATTAGAATGGAGACTTGTATCATTTTTTTTCGATTAATTCATTGAATGAAAGAAAAATAAAAACGTGATTGTTTTATTATTTCCGTTCTCAATTTTTGTTTATTGAGAAGTTGACAAGTCTAACAAGTTTTGGGTAGATTTCAAAATTTGACAGAGAATCACGACATCTCGGTCAATGGTAAATCAATAATTGTTACGAATTTTCAATTAGTATGAGAAGAAGTTCTGTGCGAGATGTTGGATTGATATTCGATGAGGAGTTCAACAAGAAGATGAGAATTGCGAATTTTTTTGTGAAGAATCTGGAGGACCAGAAAGGTTGGATTTTCAGTAATTTTTACTACTCGTCCCGTAGATTAAATTATTCGGGAATTGATAATTAGAATGGAGACTTGTATCATTTTTTTTCGATTAATTCATTGAATGAAAGAAAAATAAAAACGTGATTGTTTTATTATTTCCGTTCTCAATTTTTGTTTATTGAGAAGTTGACAAGTCTAACATGTTTTGGGTAGATTTCAAAATTTGACAGAGAATCACGATATCTCGGTCAACGGTAAATCAATAATTGTTACGAATTTTCAATTAGTATGAGAAGAAGTTCTGTGCGAGATGTTGGATTGATATTCGATGAGGAGTTCAACAAGAAGATGAGAATTGCGAATTTTTTTGTGAAGAATCTGGAGGACCAGAAAGGTTGGATTTTCAGTAATTTTTACTACTCGTCCCGTAGATTGAATGGAAAAATGGATTGAGTCGAAGAAAATATCGAGAGGTTTTTTCGTTGTTGAAAAAATTCTCTGCAAAAAATGTGTTTCACATTTGTCCCTGAAACCCCTCATAATTACACGGTTAGAGGGAGATACGTCAATTCGTTATTTATCTCATTCAACTATTTTCATAATTTAATGAAGTGTGAATAAAAAGGAGAGCAGGGCAACATAAATACTTCAACAGTTTTGTAATTAAGTAAAATTAATTTTTTCAGACACAGAAAGGGCGAAGTACTGGCTGAGGCGACTGGGAAATATAAAATCCTCGAACTTGGAAGTGAAGAAGAGTAGAAACGTATTTCTGACGTATTTCATAAGAGTCCTGAGGGATGGAGTGCTTCCAGGGTGTGCCGACGGTCGATCAGACACTGTTTGTGACCCTGACGACTCCCTGAAATTCCTGCATAACCCGGTGAAACTCAAAAAATTTTAATTTCAATTTATTCATCGTTCAGGCCTAGATGACGGCACGAAAAAAATTTACAGAAAAGCGTAGCGAATTCGACAGAAAAATCAACTGGAAATTCTATAAGTTAATTCTATAGTCCATTTATTTTTGGCCAATTCTATTTAAAAATTCGAATTTTATAAAAACTAAAACTAATCAGTAGAATTTCAACTTTGTTTATTAAAAGATTTTCTACAGAAATTCCTCGACATCAATTTTCCAATTTTTTTCACTCTGTTCTTCTTCTCTTTTCTGAATAATAGAAAGTTCAAGAGAAATACAATTAAATTTTTTATAATTGCAAATCTCGATGTTAACATCATCGTATGGAGCACTTCCCTATGAATTTTTTACCTCATTTTAAATATTTTTTACATCGCTATTGACAATCTCCACTGAAATATTAAAAATGAAAAGGCAAAGTCCACTTGATAATGTTTTATAAAACCACTGGGTTCAATAACAAAACACAAAATAATCTGCATGAAATCGCTGAATTCGTTTTTACACCTGGAGAAATTCCCTAAAAGTCAACGGACTTCGGCATTAACTCGCTGTTATCATCAATATTCTCCAATTCTGACAGGATTATTTATCAGAGGCGTCAGAAGAAACTGCGGATGAAGAGCCTCCCCCGAGGAAAGTAATACAGTTCCAATCGAAGTGGTCGAAGGACCACAGGACTTACGTGGCAGTGAAACCTATTCCTGGGAGAGGTGCTCTAGTATTCATGGCAGTGTCCAAACGTCCTGGCCTCGATAACTGGGATTTGCCACCTCTCATGAAATCCCAGATGAAGAGATGAGAAAATAAAGAAAAATTCATCATCAAATTTATTTTATTTTTCAATCAATTCGTTCATATTCTGAAGGATTGCATTCTCTATGAAAAAGCTCTTGCCATTTTCTCCTGACAGAGAAGATTAATTAAATGAATTGAATTAAATTGAGGATCTGATAATTCACTTTGAGCCATGAATTATCAGCCAAAAGGGACTACAAAAAATCTAAAAAATAACTGGAGTCAGGTAAGGGAAATTTTAAATTATACCGATCATTAATCGGATAATTGCAAATTTCTACAACTGATTAAATGTTATTTCGATTGATAATGTAACAGAAAATTTCAATTGGAAAATTTAATAACATTAATCTGGTTAAAATGATTAATTGATTTATGACGTGGAAAACTGATTTCTATATTTTGATTTTAATGATAACTGAATGGAGTGTCTTGCCAACACTGAACTTCGACTTATTGCATGTCACAAATAATTCCACGGGAAATTTTTTGTAGAACATTTTATCACTCAGCTGCTCAATTAATTAATGAATTAGTTACGAGGAAAATAAATAATTACCAACAAGTATTTTTAAAAATATTTAATGAAGCTGCGTTTGTGGTATCACAACAATGCCCCGCCAAATTATTCTCCCTTGTAATAAAACTGTCAACTGATCCTCGCACCACCTGGGACACCGAAAATAACGGTCTCCTCCAAATTCGTTTGTGTAAAAAAATAAATAAAATATCCACTACCCTCTGAGCATTAATTTTGGTCCACTCTGTTCACTATAGAGAGATTACATTCAGCATGAAAAATGTCGAGTGAATTCTCGTGTCCCAGGCGTGAGTGTAACTTGTACAATTTTTTCAAAATGTTTTTATTCAAGTTTCAATGTTACTTTCTTAATAAGCATTCTGAAAATAATTTTCATCTTTCTTTTCATAACAAATCACATACAGGAGCCAAATAAATAGCTTATAATGTCTAACAGCATTATCAACTACTAGTAATACGCGAGGAAAAAAAATGTAAAATCGAGTTTGAGAATGAAAGAAAAATACATTTTTTTTTCTTGAATGAAACCTTAGATGTAGATTAGGGACTGAAGTCTGGGTGGTGGAGAGAGATTCCATTAATCTTGACATTGAAATTGAAACGCACAGGAGAAAATTCGACTCTCAAGGTAGATAATTGAGATAATTCCACATTAAATCGTCGAATCGTAATAATCCGGATTATTTCATTCTCTTAATTCTCGAATTTTTGCAAAATCATAGAACATTTTTTTTTTAGTGACGATTTTTTCCCTAAAATCACTCATCACTGAGATATTCGCACAATCAACGAACGTCAATTTCATAACAGATTCAATTTAGTAAAATCGATATCTAACGTCTGCAAAATTTTTCAATTATCTCGATATCGAGTAATTCTACGAGGAAAAGTCACAGAACATTTTTTGTGGGGCATTTCATCAGCTACAAAAAATGTCATTTGAAGTTTTCTCCTAAAACTACTCCTCGCCGAGATAATCGTCCATCTATTAATCGTTTCTCAGCGTAAACGTAGAATTATCCAGAATTATCGAAAAAAACTCAAAGAAAAATTCTCGCCATGATTTCTCATTGACGAATTATCCAAACGAAATAGAAAAGAAAAAAATGTACGTGCAATACGCAAATTAAGGGAATAAACGAGTAATCAAAGGTATAGGTCGGTTGATTTCATTAAATTGTCACTTACATCCTATTTACTATTCAACAATTCAAAAAATACTTATAACGATACACACAACCTTGAATAATCTCAACAGCTGTTGGTCATACCCAGCCCGACCTAACTTACTCATATTTTCCATCATTTTGTTTGAAGAATGATTTTCTCGATATTCCATTCATGTTGTTCCCAATTGCGCTTTGCACGCGACCCTTTCCATCCGAATATCATATTTTACATTTTTCCTTTTCTTTTTTCTTCATCCCTTGGGTTTTGATCTTGTTCAATGAGAATAGTGCAACTCCAAATGTCTTCAATTATTAACAATATTATTTTCTTTATACAAAATACATCAGGGCACTCACAGTTCTAATTCCTAATTATTCACTGGAGTATTCGCAGCATTTGTCATTTTAATTTTACATTATAGCTTCATTTGTTCTGTGGGTCGATGGAGTAAGGAAGTGCGTCGAAATTTCATTTTTGTTGAGTTGTCAGTTATCTCCAAGACGAAAGTTTGAGGAGGAAATGCCACTAGAGCTTTTTTGGAGCTGATGAGATCCTCTACAAAAATTCTTATTACCATTTTTCCCCAAATTCACTCCTCATCGAGATAATCTGATACTTAACAAAATGTAGAAAATTAAATTGCAATTCTCATTCACCTTTCGTCGAAATCGTCTTGCTAATATTGCATTTATCTCGTTAATGAGTGATTTGGAGAGGAAACGTCACAAGACCTTTTTTGCAGCTGATAAAATTCTCCATAAAAATGTCCTTTACCATTTCTTCGGAAAAGCAATCGTCGTTGAGATAATTCCACACGAAACAAAAAGGAAAAAATTAACTTTCTATAATGCGATGGAAATTCCATTTCCAGAAACTTACTTCTTTATTCCACAATCCCACAGAACGTTCCTCCATCTCAATTTTTAATTACAAGTATGTATGGTATAAAAATAATACTCAGTCAATTAGTTCTGATTAATACTCGCGATGTGACATGAATGAGTTTCTCTTTTTTGTTATAAAAAACCAGTGAAAAGCGTGGATTCATAAATTTTAATATTTAATCGTTATTCTATGCGGTCTACGCGCATTAATTTAAGATTTCTTCCTCCAATTTTGAGTCAATTCGGAGTTACTTCTGCTGTCACTTGGACGGACGGAACAGATGCCATGAGCCATATTTCAATTCAGATCGATTTTCAATTTTTATACACATTTTTCCCATATTAGTGAGTGTCAAATGATCTGTAAAATTTTGTACAAAATTTTTTATGTACTAAAATAATGATTTTCATTTTGAATTCAGTGATGAAGCATTTTCAAAAATGTCAAATTCAACATTTTTTATCAATTATGCATTTTTCATCAAGGAGATAATTTCAACATAAAACAATATGTGAAAAATTTCATCACTTGACTCCAACCCCCCCCCCCCCCC